GAGCGGCACGGCGGGCCCGCGTGTACAAGTGAGGCGGGGACGGGTGTTGGGACTGTGTAGGTGAGCCCCGCGGGCCCGGGGGCTTGGGGCTGAGCGTGGGCAGAACGGGCAGGTGTGGCGTGAGGGGCGTGCGGAGCTGGAGTCGTTCGGGACGAGGTGTTAGGGTCAGAATGGGCAGGTGGGGCTGGAGAAGGGGCTGGAGCTAGGCATGGGGGGCAGCGTGGAGGGGGCTGAAGGGAAGGTGTCTGGAGGCTGCCTCCAGGAGTGGGGTGTTGGGATATCAGTAGGCCCCATAAGGATGGGAGAAGTGGGAGAAGCAAGAGCTGGGACAGTAGCAGGCTGGAGGGAAGAAGCTGGAGTAGGCAGTTCAGTTGGAAAGGAGGAGCATGTGTGCCTGTTGGGAACCCAGAACTGCGTGGCTGGTGTGCACTGAAGTTGTTATATGGGGAAATAACAATCAGAATGGGGTGGGCAAGAGAAGAGCTGAGGAGTTGATGAATCATGGTCTTGTGGAAGTTTGAGATCTGATTTGAGACAGTCATTTGATAGGAAAAAGCACTGGGTAGGATGAAGTCTGTAAGCAGACTCTGACCTCTGAGTCACAGAGGTTGGCTGGGCTAACTCCTAGAAGAAGGTAGTCACCTGCCTGTAGCGATAGTGTAAAGGAGCAGTTTCTGCTGATAGTTGAGCTGCTGAAGAAATTTTGTTAGCATGCTAAAGGAAGAGATGGGTGTGCTGTTGGATTGTTAGGAAACAGAACCTTACCTGTTCCCATCATGTTGGAAACAGTCTTGCTACTGAATCACAAGAATGGTTTAGGTCACAGTGACAGGTTCTTGAAGTACATGAATACATAGACAGATCTCCAGTACAGTGACAGAGTAATAGGATGACTTGCTACAGTTGTAAATGTCTTTGCAGTGATTTTTGCTCATGTGGTGAGTTACCTATCTCATAAAAAGCAGAACCCTCTTAGAAGTGCAGGGATAGCTGGAGTAGTTACTGTATTCTCAACCTGTACTAAGATAGTATACACAGTCCTCTTTTGTGCTTCAATCTGGTGATAGTTGTTTCCTTAGTCCTTTTTTTCCCCCTCTTCTGAGGAAAAGGTGCATGATGCAAAGCAAAGAACTCTTGTTCTTTTTTGCTTTTAGGAAAAAGTGAAATGCAATCAATGTCTTGTCTTAAACTCCTGTTGTCAGCTAATGGCCATGTTCCTTTCCCAGTCCTTTTTTGCTTTAAAGAACCCTGTCCCACTGTGTTTTCCCCAAAATCCACATCTGAGGAGCTCCTACTTTGTTGTGGTGAAAAGTTTTAACAACTAAACAGCTGCTTGCTGTTACTGAAGGTACACTACATAAAGAATCCTGGAACTCCTGAAAGCAAGCTTTGGTCTGGAAGCCACAGGGATGCTTTAGTGCAATACTGTACTGGGAAGCAAAGTCTGTGTGAAGGCAGAGCAAAAGCATGAATTTTCTTACCTGTATTGTGGTTTAACCCCAGTCAGCAACTAAGCCCCACACAGCCACTTGCTCACTCCACTCTAGTGGGATGGGGTAGAGAGTCAAAAGAGTAAAAGTGAGAATACGTGGGTTGAGATAAAGACAGCTCAGTAGGTAAAGCAAAAGCCGTGCACACAAGCAAAGCAAAACAAGGAATTCATTCACCACTTCCCATCAGCAGGCAGGTGTTCAACCATCTCCAGGAAAGCAGGGATCCGTTGTGTGTAATGGTGAATTGGGAGGACAAATGCCGTCTCTCTGAACATCCCCCCCTTCTTCTTTCTTCCCCCAGCTTTATATGCTGATCATGATGTCATATGGTCTGGGACATCCCTCTGGTCAGTTGGCATCAGCTGTCCTGGCTGTGTCACTTCCCAACTCCTTGTGCACCCCCAGCCCACTCACTGGTGGGTGGGGTGAGAAGCAGAAGAGGCCTCAGTGCTGTGTAAGCACTGCTCAGCAGTAACTAAAACATCCCTGTATTAACAATGCTTTTCAGCACAACTCCAAAACAGCCCCATATTAGATACTATGAAGAAAACTATTGCAGCCAAAACCAACACAACTTGTCCAGGCATTCATACTCTATGATCACTTCTCATATGAAAGACATACTTAGGAGAGAAGTTTATGATATACTGTAGCTTCTTAAAATTTGGTCACTTACTGCTGAACAATGATCAAATCTATACCAGTACTACAGGAATTGAAGCAATGTGGTTTTGGTTTTTTTTTTCCTAGTTACATATTACTATGGTTCATATTACTCCTATGAAGCAGTAAAAAGATTGGAAAAGCAGGTAGGCTTGAATAGAGTTTGTGACTGGAGGAAAGGATGTGGTAGATTTTGAAAAAGATTCCTGTTAGATGAGGAGTAAGGCTGAGTTATGAGGAGGGAGGGGACTTTAGTCAATGCTGAGGGCTAGACAATGCACTTCATTTTGTGTGGTATGTGGCTCACTCAACTTGTATGTATTCAGGCTTTTTATGTGCCTGCCTTCTGTTCTAACTAGTGTATTGGGCAGATGCTGGTCAAGAGTGCAAGTAGATAAATAAATTTATAGTAACGTTTGACTGATGTGGCCTAATATTTTTTTTCAAATTGAAAAAAGATAAAAATGGATACTTGTTGGCAACAGAGCTGTTGGTGTTATATATTAACATATGTTTCAACTACAGTAATGCTATTTTCCATATGGCTTGCATGTGAAATCTGTAGATAAAATAAGGAGCAACATATATGCATGATGAATGGGAAGAAGAGGGCAAAGGATAGCAAGGTCAGAGTCTTCAAAGTGTAGAAGATGGCTTTGTTCAAATTCTTATTTAATGTGTCAGAAGTGAATCTTCCTTTTGGAAGAGGGTAGCAGAACAGTTTGAATTATATACTTGTGATGACTTGCATCTGTAGGAATTTCAGGAGACATTTCACAATTGACTATGTTGCAGTCTCCATTTGTCCTGGTATCCAGTTAATAGCCTAGCGTGGGAGGTGACCCTTAACAACAACTGAAAAAATATTTGGGAAAATGAAAATTGCTTTACTGAAATATGACTATAATTTGTAGCACAAACTGAGAATTCATAAGCCTTAGGAAAAATAGAAGTCACATGATTTTGTGGCATGTCTAACTCTTTAACAACCATTTATTATTGTCAGGTCTCAAAATCCGTACTCTGATCATGGCAGAGCAGATTATACAGGATACAATTTTGCCTGTCTTGGTATCATCCCTTTCCTGGACTACCATGATTCTTTTCTAAAGAAAATATATATTTTCTAAAGAAAATGTAGTTTTCTAAAGAACTAAGAAACCTACCTTGATCTAATAAATGCTGAAAGACAAGAAGAATGAAGTTGCAGAATCAAAAAAGTACTTAAATCACTGAATCAGTTTCTTAAGTTCTCTGAGAGCATTCTTTTTCTTTCCTCAAGATTATCATTATATTTTTAAGGTTAAAGAGAAATAATGACTGAAACTTAAAACTGAAATAATGACAAAGAAGTTTTGCAACTTTTTCTTAATAGTTAAATAATACAGAAACAATCTTCTTGCTGCTTATAGAGAAACCATGCCATTTTTGGGCCAAGACTGGAGATCCCCTGGATGGAGATGGGTTAAAACAGAAGATGGATGGAAACGATGTGAACTCTTTAGTCCTGCACTTGAGGATGGGAGTAATCAGCTGAACGATATCAGTCACGCCGTGTAAGTTTAAAAAACCCTGAAGTGATTCTGCATGAGTTAATAACAGGTGGGAAGGCAAAGATTGACTTAATTTCCATTCAGAGAGTGTTTGTGGTAGGTGATATGCGTGTGCTAGAAGTATACAAGTGCAACCATGTGTTTTGTTCAGTTAGGCAGACAGGAGCCCCTTATGGAAATTGTCTTTTGTCACTGCATTGTGAGTTGCTTGTTTTAGGCAGACAGATCCCATCTAATGTTGTATGTCTTTATTTTAAAAACAAACTAAAACATCAAGTGCTATTTAAAGATAAAAGTGATATTTATAAATTGCAAGTGCAACAGGCATATTGAAATTTTATCTGGATGTGAATGAAGCCTTTCTGTGGATTGGGTGTTGGGTCAGGGCTGTTTATGGCAGCTGTGCAATGCCTTTGCTCCAAATACACAATTAATGGTAGTTTTATGGTAATTCTCAAAAATAATATTTGAATGTATGTGCTCCTGTAGAACAGGTGAGAAAGTTATTAGTTAAATAACGTAATACTTGTGGCAGATGCTCACAGACCGATGTGATATAAATAGCTTTGTCAAAACAAATTGCTGCTTGATTTCTCCATGAAAAAGTAATTCTCGGGAATAGCATTCTTGGTCATAAATTCCAGCATAATGTGCTCATAATGAGAAAAGGGAACATTCAGTGTGTTCTTGCTAGTCCAGTAAATGATACAGTAACTGATCCTATTTAGAGGGAATTTGCTGGCAAACCAGGACTTGCTGTAGTCATACACCTGTGTTTCTTCTAAATTTGAGAAATAAACCTCAACAGAGCTATCAAGCAGTGAAGAATTATTATTAAGACTATCTTGACCTGCTGTTTTCTTCATGCCTTTTTTCTTTTTGTGTTCCTCTGTCACTGATCTTATTTGGGCTTTTTTTCCACACAGTCTGCTACTGTTGATACAAAAGACTATGCTTGTCTGGAAGAGTGTTCATTAAGCCTCCAACATAAAATTGCCTTAAGTACCTTTGAAAAAATATCTGTTCTTCCCTCTTTCATATATCTTTAATAATACAGTTGACAAAAGGAAATCACATTTAATTTTGATAGCCATTTGCACAGTTACTGAATAATTATATCTTGTAGGTTGCTTTAATGAGTATTGTTTGACAACTATCACATCAATGATAATTGTCTTTGTGAATATCATTAAGACTTTTGCTCTTCTGATCCTAATTTTTTATCTATCTATCTATCTATCTATCTATCTATCTATCTATATCTATCTATATATCTATCTGTGTGTGTGTCTCTGTTTCCTCCAAAGAGCAAGGTGAGGTATTTTTATTGCTTCTTCAAGCAAAAATACTAGATTTTTTTTTTTTTCCTTAGTCTTGAAAGAACTTAGTATTGAACTCCTCTGGAGTTGTCTTACTAGAAACTGATTTGAATCAGCTGGGTTTGGAAAGATATAAGTATTACAGTTCAGGACTAAAATTAATTTGAAGGGACTGGCTGTGAAATATTCGGGGGGGGGGGGG